AAACCCTGCCATTGCACTATGAAGCATGTGAATAAAAATAAAAATACAATTAAAACTGATAATTTGGAAAATCACTATAGTCCGCCTGTCATTTCCAAGAGGAGCCTGTGTATAGTTAGATAGCCTGTCCCAGTCATGCCCTTTGATCTGTGTAGAGGATCTCAGTGGGAGAACGGGCTCCTGTGAGTTGGTGACTAGTGGAGATTAAAATAACAGATAGGGCATCCACCCTGGCCTGACAGTAGGCATTCCGAGCACACACACGCACACACAAACATACATACAGTGCATTCGGAAAGTATTCAGACCCCTACCCTTTTCCACATTTTGTTATGTTACAGCCTTATTCTAAAATTGATTAAATAAATAAAAATCCTCATACACACAATACCCCATAATGACAAAGCGAAAACAGGTTTTTAGACATTTTTGCAAATTTATTAAAATTAAAAAACAGAAGTACCTTATTTACATCAGACCCTTTGCCATGAGACTTGAAATTGAGCTCAGGTTCATCTTGTTTCCATTGATCATCCTTGAGATGTTTCTACAACTTGATTGGAGTCCACCTGTGGTAAATTCAATTGATTGGACATGATTTGGAAAAGCACACACCTGTCTATATAAGGTTCCACAGTTGACAGTGCATGTCAGAGCATAATCCAAGCCATGAGGTCGAAGGAATTGTCCGTAGAGCCCCGAGACAGGATTGTGTCCAGGGTACAAAATACATTATGCAGCATTGAAGGTCCCCAAGAACACAGTGGTCTCCATCATTCTTAAATGGAAGAAGTTTGGAACCACCAAGACTCTTCCTAGAGCTGGCCGCTCGGCCAAACTGAGCAATCGGGGGAGAAGGGCCTTGGTCAGGGAGGTGACCAAGAACCCGATGGTTACTCTGATAGAGCTCCAGAGTTCATCTGTGGAGATGGGAGAACCTACCAGAGAAGGACAACCATCTCTGCAGCACTCCACCAATCAGGCTTTTATGGTAGAGTGGCCAGACGGAAGCCACTCCTCAGTAAAAGGCACGTGACAGCCAGCTTGGAGTTTGCCAAAAGGCACCTAAAGGACACTCAGATTCTCTGGTCTGATGATACCAAGATTGAACTCTTTGGCCTGAATGCCAAGCGTCACGTCTGGAGGAAACCTGGAACCATCCCTGCGGTGATGTATGGTGGTGGCAGCATAATGCTGTGGGGATGTTTTTCAGCAGCAGGGACTGAGAGACTAGTCAGGATGGAGGGAAAGATGAACGGAACAAAGTACAGAGAGATCCTTGATGAAAACCTGCTCCAGAGCGCTCAGGACCTCAGACTGGGGCGAACGTTCACCTTCCAACAGGACAACAACCCTAAGCACACAGACAAGACAACGCAGGAGTGGCTTCGGGACAATTCTCTGAATGTCCTTGAGTGGCCCAGCCAGAGCCCGGACTTGAACCCAATCTAACATCTCTGGAGAGACCTGGAAATAGCTGTGCAGCGACGCTCCCCATCCAACCTGACAGAGCTTGAGAGGATCTGCAGAGAACAATGGGAGAAACTCCCCAAATACAGGTGTGCCAAGCTTGTGTAGCGTCATACCCAAGAAGACTCAAGGCTGTAATCGCTGCCAAAGGTGCTTCAACAAAGTACTGAGTAAAGGGTCTAAAATACTTACGTAAATGTAATATTTCCTATTTTTTTTAATCAATTTGCAAACATTTCTAAAAACCTGTTTTTGCTTGTCATTATGGGGTAATGTGTGTAGATTCAAAACTATTGAATCAATTTTAGAATAAGGCTGTAACGTAACAAAATGTGGAAAAAGTCAAGGGGAATACTTTCCGAATGCACTGTACACACCCAAACCCACATCCACACACTGGCTATAGAAACACAATCTACACCACAAGGTGGTCCATTTAAAAAGATAATTTCTCCTTATAAAGCTTTCTGCATAAAGACTGCACAAAAAAAAAAAATATATACAATTCTTACAACTTTTCTAAACAGGAAGAAATGGAACATCTGATTATCTCTTTGTGCCAAGCATTGTTCGACACAGGGGCTTATTTCCCGGGGCTGGCCCCCTGTTGCATTGTGTGAACAGCCAGAGTGAGTGTCAAGGACCACCTATTTCAGTTTGGCAAGTGGACTTAGGTTAAGGCGTTCCTATGATGACATGTGTAACCCATCGTCATCTATCTGTCTTCATTGGTCCCATACTGCTCCACTCTGCAGACTCTGATCTGTCCCACATTCTGGGCCTGCTGGGTTGAAGGTGTCAACATCAAGGCCTTGCGGGACCCCTTTCTCTGTTTCTCTCTCCTCCGCCAGGAGAAATAAGCCCCTGTGGACACTGGTGGCAAGGTACCACCTCCCTCCATCCCTCCATCCCTCCCTCTCTCCGTCTCCCTGGCCCCTCCAGTGGGTTAGAGGTCTGTCACTTTGTTCTCCAGGGCGGCTGCTATCTGCTGCAGCCGCAGGGTGAGCTGTTTACTCTGGGCTGCCGGGTCCTCATCTAGGGACTGGATGATCTGTAGAGCGACAGGGAGAGAGGGAGGGAGGGAGGGAGGGGGGGAGAGCAACAGAGAGAGCGAGAGGGGAGACAGAGAGAGAGAGAGGGAGAGAGACAGAGAGAGAGGGCGAGAGAGGGCGAGAGAGGGCGAGAGAGGGAGAGAGAGAGAGAGAGAGACAGAGACAGAGAGAGGGAAAGAGACAGAGAGAGGAAAGAGACAGAGAGAGACAGAGAGAGGGAGAGAGACAGAGAGAGGGAGAGAGACAGAGAGAGAGCGGGAGGAGACAGAGAGAGAGCGAGAGAGAGACAGAGACACAGAGAGGGAAAGAGACAGAGAGAGAGAGACAGAGAGAGAGAGAGGGAGAGAGAGAGACAGAGTGAGGGAAAGAGACAGAGAGAGAGAGAGACAGAGAGAGAGGGGAGAGAGACACAGAGGGAAGAGAGGGAGAGAGCACAGAGACAGTAGAGAGAGAGACCAGAGAGAGAGAGGGGGAGAGAGAACAGAGAGAGTGAGGAGACAGAGAGAGTGAGAGAGAACAGAGAGAGAGCGGGGGGGAGGACAGAGCAGAGACATAGAGGGAGAGAGACAGAGTGAGTGAGAGAGACAGAGAGAGAGAGCGGGGGGAGACAGAGGAGAGAGGGGGGGGGGGGGGGAGAAAGAGAGAGAAAAAGGGGGGGGGGGGGGTGGGGGGGGGGGGGGGGGGGGGGGGGGGGGAAAGGAAGAGAGAGGGAAGAGACAGAGAGGAAGGGGGGGGGAGAAGAGAGAGGGGGGGAAAAAGGGCAAGGGGAGGGAGAGGCGAGAAAGGGGGGGGGAAAAAGAACGGGGAGAGAAAAAGGAGAAGGGGGAGACAGAGGGGGGGGGGAGAAAGAGAGAAGGGGGAGACAAAAGGGGGGGAAAAGAAAGAGAAAGAAAGAAAAAGAAAACGGGGGAGAGAGACAGAGAAGAGGGGGAACAGAGAAAAGGGGGAAAAAAAAAGAAGCGGGGGGGGAGACAAAAAAGGAGAGGTTTGGGGGGAAAGAAGAAGGGGGGGGG